CACACCAGATGTCTTAATATTACGAGGTAACCTGTTAAATTACCCCCACCCATTAGTTTTCAATTCGTTTTCTTTGAAGGTCAACACTGAAAGGCTTACCACGAGGGGCCACTATACTATATGTGCGCGGTGAGTGTTTGGTGGGGTGTATGATAATTACTTGAATGGACTGTTGTTGTGTTTTGTGTATTTGTTGTTTTTGGATTATTTGTTGTAAATAGATCGTGAGATATATAGTGAGAGAGAGAGAGAGAGAGAGAGAGAGAGAGAGAGAGAGAGAGAGACACACCTAAAACCTATGGTCAGTTTATATGTACAGTATGTAAGATAGTGAGGTGGCCGACCTTCCCCAGACCAGAGTGGGGAGGGAAGAATGGGGAGGAGAGGAATGGGGAAGGACAAAATTGGGAGGAGGACGAGGAGAGAGGTATGGGAAGAGAGGGATGGGGAGGAGAAAAGAGGAATAAGGAGGAGGAAGAACGGATAAGGAGGAAGAGGAGAAAGTGGTTGGGGATAATGAGAAGGGTGAGGATTAGGAGGAGGAGGGCGGGGAGGTTGAGGAAGAAGAGGAGGAGGGACGACGGAGGAGAAAGAGGAGGAGGACGAGGAAGAGGTCGGGGATAACGGGAAGGGCGAGGATTAGGAGGAGGGGGTGTGTAGAGGAGGAGGAGGAGGAGGCCGGGGCTTAACGTGACGACCCCTGAGGGAGGTGGCCGGCCCACTACTGTCTCCTGCAGTAGGAAGCTCTGGCTCTACCCTAACGTGAGGCTGTCGGCCCCTGTAGCCACCTGTGTGTGTGTGTGTGTGTGTGTGTGTGAGAGAGAGAAAGAGAGACCAAGACTTTAATGCAAGGTTCTCCTCCTGTAAGAGACCAGGACGCCGCCGCACCTCTCCTGCTGGGGGACACTGAAGGAGGCGAGTAACTGAGCTTCACCCGCCCCTTGAAGACCAGTGAGTGAGACGGTGGTAGATGTCACTCATTACCTGATGACCAATTAGTGATGATCTCTATTGCTGCTGCCACTACCACCACCACTAGCATCACCATTACCACCAACATCATAACCACTTTACCTATCACCACCACTATTCCCATCACCACCATCCCCATCACCACTACCACCACCACTACTACGCACAAGAACTGACACACACACACACAGATAATGACGTCATCTAGCCAATACCTGGACAATGTCATTTGAATCAGGTTAAGTGGTCTGGTAACTGACAGCTCGGTGCTCCAGGTGGGCGGCTCCAGGTGGGCGGCTCCAGGTGGGCGGCTCCCGGTGGGCGGCTCCAGGTGGGCGAGACTTGTGTAATGTGTTTTATATATTTTTCTTTTCTTTTACGGGTAATTTTAACAGTACCTAAATTTAACGTAAACGTAATTTAACACAAATTTATAATATCGTAATAGATATTTATGTTATGTTAATACAATATATATCTAACCTGAATACTATAAATAAACGCAATAATATAATAAGTTTTCATTGGCTGCTGCTCGACTATTAAATAAACACAAAAACAATATAAGGTTTTCATTGGCTGCTGCTCGACTATTAAATAAACACAAAAACAATATAAGGTTTTCATTGGCTGCTGCTCGACTACCTCATCAACATAAAAACAATTCTCTAATGTGGAAAGATATGACCGACACTCATGAGACGATTTCATTTACTTAATGTAAAAAAAAAATAAACACGGGAATGAATGACAAGGTTCGTCATTCATTATATCCGGATTCTGGATTAAAACTCCTAGAGAAACGTTAATAATTATATGAAGTATGTAATATTTATGTCATTAGTTTATGGTTAGGGGGGAAATATAATCAGGTAATGATGGCACGGAATTATGCAATAGTTAGGGTACGTTAGGTATACACACACACACACACACACACACACAACACACACACACACACACACACACAACACACACACACACACACACACACAACACACACACACAACACACACAATAACACAATAAACACACACACACACACACACACACAACACACACACACACACACACACACAACACACACACACAACACACACACAACACACACACACACACACACACACAAAACACACACACACACAACACACACAACACACACACACACACACACACAACACACACACACACACACACACAACACACACACACACACACACACACACACACACACCACACACACACACACACACACACAACACACACACACACACACACACACACACACACACACACACACAACACACACAACACACACACACACACACACACACAACACACAACACACACACAACACACACACACACACACACACACAAAACACACACACACACACACACACACACACAACACACACACACACACACACACACACACACAACACACACACACACACACACACACACACCACACACACACACACAACACGAATCTAACTCATCCTGTAGAAGTTGACAAATCTCTTGCTGACTGACGAAGGAGAGAGAGACGGGAGGGGGGAGGGGGACGGAGGAAAAGAGG